AAAATTATCATCTAAACTTATTCAATTTATTATTCATGATTTAAAAGGATGAATGAAAGTGCCACGCGCTTTACGTTCTCTTAACAGCTAGTGGACGGCACTTGTCAACAAATGGTACCCGTCAGAGAAAGCAGAATTTTAAAGAACTGTTGTAAGCGAATGCCTTAGTACGAGCAATAATATCGAATCCACGTACTGGTTTTCTGAGCAGTTTTAGTAACAATTAATATTTGTTGTACTAAAAATTTCTACGAAAGCTTTGAAAAAAAGGACGACAGAGAAACTGTGCTCATCTTCCAGCATATTAAACATAAAGCCGACAAAAATGATATTTAGGTCATGAAACTGTGCAACTCGCACGTAAGCAGCGTATGTTTCATCCTCTAACTCAAAACACAGTCGCGAGAGCGGACAGAAACGGGAATAATAAGGGGTACAGCGTAACAGGTTATTGAAAATGAGTGGGGAAAAATTACTGATTTCACTGTTTTAGTGATTTTTGCAATTCCTATTAGCTTATGTAAAAATTTTTTGTGAATACAGAACGTGTTCTTAAACAAGAAATGAAAACTGTTTCAAAATAAACTGAAAGCTGATTTCATCCAATCAGGACGTACTCAAGACAAACAACTACGCAGCAGCGCACTCCATTTTTATCTTCACTCAAGTGTAGTTTCTGCAAAACCTCATTTAGACGATTCTTCAAATTAAAATCAAAGCTTTTTCTTATTCAAACAAAAATACCTCGGCTCCGCTTTCTGGCTCTGTACGTATGCCAGAATCGTCAGCAGGACGACGATTTTTTGCTAATGCAGAGACCGCTGATTCAGCTGGTTGTGGTGGTAATGAACCAGCACGAATATCCGCCAAGGACTGGAGCTACAAAAGCACTTTTTTAAAATCCTAAAAAATTTGCAATTTTCTCTGAAACGTGGATTTAGAAACTACTCATTTTTCATCGAATTTAAACGACATACCTGATATGGTTTTGAGGGATCAATGGGAGGAGGTCCAGGAACTTTCGCTTCACCCGTATACTGTTCATGGAACGAACGCGTTGTCATCTGTGGCGCCGCTCGCGCAGCAGCTACTCTGGCAGCGCTTGCCGGTACTGCAGCCGATGGAGGAAGTCCTTTGGATGTTGACTGGAAAAAAATTAGATTTTTATTGCAGTTTGGGTAACACTTTCAGCAGGATATGTTTTCCAGAAAATCTAAAAATGAACGCTGCACTCATACCGGCTGGCTGATGTGTTCTTGTATTTCATCGGCAAGCCTCGCTTCCAGAGACTGGAGCCTCAGGACGAGCGCCTGCACCTGCTCCAGGAGCTCACGATTCGCATTTAGCAGCTGATGCGTCCGCGACTGAAACGTGATATGACAGTGAGATCGCTCATTCACGTTCCACTACCTAGCAGTTTGTGCTGGAAATATCCACCGGGCAACAGCATGGATCAATTTTCACTTGAACTTAAGATCTGTTTTTCTTTTTCGAACAAACCGCTTTCATCGAACTAAAAATCTTGCAAGCCGTAATACAACTCAATTCAGCCTTTTTCTCGTTAAAAAAAATAAACGACTGTTATCCAGCACGGCCATTATGTTCCACTTCAAGTCCGAAACTCATCCTCACTTTTACTGATTAGCAAACCAAATTCTTTTTCAAGACTTAATAAATTGTATGATTGCAAAAGCCAGAATAAACAATTATCTGAACAATAGTTTCACGTAAAGAAAACTGAGCTCAAAAAT